TGTTTGAGTAAATAAAACAGTTTTGTGTTACCGTTTGTTGTAGGGTATAACTGATATCATCATATTACATAAGTAGCTGTTATATTTAAATATAAGGGGCCGCGGTGGCCAAGTGGTTAAGGCGTCTAACATTCTGCTACCACTAGCCCTCCACCGCTGGGTCGTGGGTTCGAGACCTACGTGGGGCAGTCGCCAGGTACTGGCCGTCGGTCGGTGGTTTTTCCCCGGGAACTCCGACTTTCCTCCACCACCAAAACCTGGCGCGTCCTTAAATGACCATAGCTGTTAATAGGACGTAAAACACAAACAAACCAAACCAAACCAAACCAAACCAAATATTTATATATATATCAATATTTTAGAAATAAAAATCTCTTTTACTTCCTACATTCTTGTTACCAGTCAAGCCGTATAATATATATATCATCATTAAAGCTCAATATTACTGATAAAAATGTTAAGTTGTAATTATAGCCGATACAGCGACGAGGAAGCACTTCAACCAACCAAAAAGGTCAACGGAATATTTTAGGTAGTAAAAATATAATTATATAAACAATCTCAACCATCCTCTAAGTCCAAACTGACATCACGTGACTAAAGTGCTAGTGAGTCAGTGGGATATCCGGTGTATGTCACTGATCACTACAAATGTATAATAAAATATAAAACATACTACACATGAAATACATATCAACAAATATATGTTATTCAAACCCCTTAAAGTCATATAACACATTGATTTTGCATCATGAAACATAGATTTAATGTTATATCTCGGGTCGCCTAAAGTTATATTCGTTTCTTTATTTAGTTTTGTTTGTTTAATTATTTTATTTGTTTATCTATATTATTCTATTTTTTATTGATATATACATTTATTTATGAAGCTCTGTTACCTATGCCTCAAATTCGTATTGATTTCTACTGTGTATTGTGCATGTATTCACACAATTACAAAAGCATTTCATGCTTTTTAGAAAGAACCTAGTAATTACATGTCATTGACGCTACGTGATTCGTGTTCTTACCTGTCTCCCAAACGTCTTTACATGTTGCAATTGATTCGGTATTCTGGGGTTTACTCAAAATATCGTCATTTCTATTATAGCTGTCGGCTGCTGACGGACAAGCTTACAACACAGGGTTCGAAAGATGCTGGTTGATGAAGACTATGAGCAAGTTTTATGGTCGACGTCATGATTTCATTAGGAAACATGGTGCTTCTTTGTGTAATATAAGGGTGATTTCTTTATTATAGTCATTAGGGGGCTTGTTGTTTCGTTTCCAGCTCCCTGTTATTATAGTCATTAGGTAGTCTTGTTGTTTCGTTGTCAGCTTCCTGTTATTATAGTCATTAGGTAGTCTTGTTGTTTCGTTGTGAGCTCCCCTGTTTTATAGTCACTAGGGTGTCTTGTTTTTTCGTTGTCAGCTCCCCGGTTTTATTATCGTCATTAAGGTGCCTTGTTGTTTCGTTGTCAGCTCCCTGGTATCTTTATGAGGAAGTGACACTACCATGATTCGAAGCTTATATATAACTGCCATTCCGGATTAACAATATGATGTAATGTTAAGATATAATGCCAAATGATTGGGCACACGTTATATAAACTGAAACAGGTCATCGCTTCACCACTTGTAGAACAAAATTGTGGACATGGCAATATAAATAAGGAAAGGAGAAGAAAGAAGGGAGTACAATGAAAGGACAATTATATCGATATGTTTTACATTTGCTCTCCATCCTCCCATTGCAATGCATTGAGAAGGCAAATAATGTTTTGAGACTATAAAAACATTTGCTATCGTAACGTCATCAATCTGTATTGTGACGTCATCTGTTTCATTGTTGTCAAGTCTTTTAAAATTTGCTGCTCAAAGAACTGTTCGAAATAACTAAATAAAGCGTAACTATTCTACCAAAATGTAAATATAGATAATGAATATTTTAGCAAATATTGTTATTGTCTTATAACACTCATTGCTATTGATGACAAACTTAATAAAGTTTAGATATTATTCCTTAATGTGTATAACATACATGTCTGCCGGGCACGTACTGATTCTACACTCGTGCCACCATTTTTGTTCAAATATTCATGAAACAAGCAAACAAAGAAATCTGCTCTGTAGTGCAATACCTTCCGTATTTGGTAGAGATCGATACAAAGATATTATAACCTTTGATATTTTTGCAAATACCGGGAACTTTTCAGTTCGCCATGACAAGGGGATTCCCATAAAAAGTAGTTCCGGCTAGAAGATATATACGACATTCCGTATTGCACAAATAATGGTCTATTTCCATTTCTTCTAACCCGGATATTTTCACTTCGTAAAATTATCAAATTAGCTGTTAGGTTTAAATTTTGGTAATGTACTCTGAAGTAGTCGGTCAGTATCAGGAAGCCAGGAAGTGTGCTCTTAGCTATGGTCTGACAATTAAGCACGTCAATTTACAGAATTTGAATTTCTGGCTAGTATTGCTTCTAGAGGAGCACGATTAAGGCGCCGAGGGCGGTTAATTTCCGCTTAAAAATTGGCTTCGCCTCAAGTCCTTTGACGGGTGTACGAGTTGTACTCTGTTGTCACTTTGATCGATGATTTTGTCAGATGTCTTGACGCTTTGTCATATATTGCCTTCATTTGTGGACGCCGTGTATATTTTTCCTTAGTTTGTTGACGCGGAGTATATTTTGCCTTAGTTTGTTGACGTGGAGTATATTTTGGTTTGGTTTTTAGACGTGGAGTATATTTTGCCTTAGTTTGTTGACGCGGAGTATAATTTGCCTTAGTTTGTTGACGCGGAGTATATTTTGCCTTTGTTCGTTGACGCGGAGTATATTTTGCCTTAGTTTGTTGACACGGAGTATATTTTGCCTTAGTTTGTTGACGCGGATTATATTTTGCCTTAGTTTGTAAACGCAGAGTATGTTTTGCCGTAGTTTGTTGACGCGGCATATATTTTGCCTTAGTTTGTTGACGCGGAGTATATTTTGCCTTAGTTTGTAAACGTGGAGTATATTTTGCCTTAGTTTGTTGACGTGGAGTATAATTTGCCTTAGTTCGTTGACGCGGAGTATATTTTGCCTTAGTTTGTTGACGCGGAGTATATTTTGCCTTAGTTTGTTGACGCGGATTATATTTTGCCTTAGTTTGTAGACGTGGAGAATATATTGCCTTAGTTTGTTGACGTGGAGTATAATTTGCCTAAGTTTGTTGACGCGGAATATATTTTGCCTTAGTTTGTTGACGCGGAGTATATTTTGCCTTAGTTTGTTGACGCGGAGTATATTTTGCCTTAGTTTGTTGACGCAGAGTATATTTTGTACTTGTATGTGTTGATACAGGGGTATATTTAGTAATATTACCTAATGCAAAGTGTTTAGTCAATACCTACTGAAAGTTTCCAAAACCTGATATGTACATTGTTCTGATAACACGGATAAATGGCGGTGAAACTGTATATTTTGCTTTTAAATGTATTGCCATTGGAACAATATACTGAAAGTCACGTGACATAACGTTTTCTGCATCTGCCACGTTGACGACAGGGAGAAAAATAGCAATAATATTAGGTTACACAAAGAAGGAAACAAAGAACCTCAATACGATGCCCACATGTTTTCATGTCACGACCTATCTGGTGGGTTAACTAAATCCAAAATCCATCAGCTTCAATGAACACGTGAAACAAGTAAATAGTCTTATAGCTTTATTAATAAAATGGATGTTACATTTTGCGTCTTTGACAATATCTTGTTTATTACAGGCATTTTGTTCAAATAATTCTATATATAGATTAATAATATATAGAAATTTTGCCATAACTTCATTGTAGCTGTAACACCGAATATCAAATCGATTGTACTTGTAATATATTTGATATCCTAATAATACACCAACACAAAATACAAAATGTATACAGCCACATATTTTTATACTCTACTTATCTTTACCTTTCAGTGCCAGTGGTTCATAGCCAATACATACACATAGATAAATAACAGTTTATTGCGGATTATAGATCTAGAATACTTCATCCAAAATATAATTCACTACAAAATAAAAGGATGCAAAAAAGTATCTCTATACACGAAACGCCATTTTTTTATCACTTTTCAAACGTCTCAAAATTGTATTTTTTACTTCACGTAAATAGTTATTTGAACAACGACATCCGGAAAGTTGTTATCAAGATGAGTATATTAAAGGCAAAACATATCTGACAAATGACCCTTGACAACAGCGTTACTAAGGAAGGTGATACATTTGACGAGGACCATTATAACAACAGCGATACTAAGGAAAGTGATCAATGTGACGAGGACCATTATTACAACAGCGATACTAAGTAAGGTGATGAATGTGACGAGGACCATTATAACAACAGCGATACTAAGTAAGTCTATAAATGTGACGAGGACCATTATAACAACAGCGATACTAAGGAAGGTGATCAAAGTGACGAGGACCATTATAACAACAGCGATGCTAAGGAAAGTGATCAAAGTGACGAGGACCATTATAACAACAGCGATACTAAGGAAGGTGATTAATGTGACGAGGACCATTATAACAACAGCGATGCTAAGTAAGTCGATAAATGTGACGAGGACTATTATAACAACAACGATACTAAGGAAGGTGATAAATGTGACGAGGACCATTATAACAACAGCGATACTAAGTAAGGTGATGAATGTGACGAGGACCATTATTACAACAGCGATACTAAGTAAGGTGATGAATGTGACTAGGACCATTATAACACCAGCGATACTAAGGAAGGTGATACATGTGACGAGGACCATTATAACAACAGCGATACTAAGGAAGGTGATTAATGTGACGAGGACCATTATAACAACAGCGATTATAAGGAAGGTACTAAATGTGACGAGGACCATTATAACAACAGCGATGCTAAGTAAGTCGATAAATGTGACGAGGACTATTATAACAACAGCGATACTAAGTAAGGTGATGAATGTGACTAGGACCATTATAACAACAGCGATACTGAGGAAGGTGATAAATTTGAAGAGGACCATTATAATAACAGCGATACTAAGGAAGGTGATAAATATGACGAGGACTATTATAACAACAGCGATACTGCGGAAGGTTATAAATATGACGAGGACCATTATAACAACAGCGATACTGTGGAAGGTTATAAATATGACGAGGACCATTATAACAACAGCGATACTGTGGAAGGCGATAAATATGACGAGGACTATTATAACAACAGCGATATTGAGGAAGGTGATGAATGTGACGAGGACTATTTTAACAACAGCGGTACTGAGGAAGGTGATCAATGTGACGAGGACCATTATAATAACAGCGATACTAAGGAAGGTGATAAATATGACGAGGACTATTTTAACAACAGCGATACTGAGGAAGGTGATAAATGTGACGAGGACCATTATAATAACAGCGATACTGTGGAAGCTGATAGATATGACGAGGACTATTATAACAACGGCGATACTGTGGAAGGTGATAGATATGACGAGGACTTTTATAACAACAGCGATACTGTGGAAGGTGATAGATATAACGAGGACTATTATAACAACAGCGATACTAAGGAAGGTGATCAATGTGACGAGGACCATTATAATAACAGCGATACTGTGGAAGGTGATAGATATGACGAGGACTATTATAACAACAGCGATACTGAGGAAGGTGATAAATATGACGAGGACTATTTTAACAACAGCGATACTGAGGAAAGTGATAAAAGTGACGAGGACCCTTATAACAACAGCGATACTAAGGAAGGTAACAAATATGACGAGGACCATTATAACATAGCTATTTCCATAGTAATATACATATCAAAATACAGGTATACTAGCAAGCTCAGTATCATTGACATTGGAATAAAAACATTAACATTAGCGATAATTACTGGCTTTATTTAGTAATTCATTTATTTATACATGTTATACGAAAAAATATAAAACTATACTATCAATAAAGTAAGACAATATTGGATCGAAATATACTGACTGTATCAATAAAACAAAATTCCTGCAAGCCATTAAATAGAAATGTATATATCTAAAAAGCAAGAAAGATTAATTTACTTCAAAATAACTGCATCTGACAAATAAAATAAAAGCGACAGAATCACAATGGGGAGATTAACCTGAATTGTAAAACAGACTCCTCTGTATCTTAAAGTTCGATTAAAAAAAGTGTATTAAAATTTGCTGTATCACTACAGTATTTTTCATTTGTACCATAATGATTAATATGCCGTATTAATATAGTAAGATTCACAAGATTTGTAATAAAATTGGCTGTATCACTGTAGTAAGATTCACAATGTTTGTATTAAAACAGGCTGTATCACTATAACAAGATAAATAATGTATGTAATAAAACTGACCGTATCACTGTAGTAAGATTCACAAAGTTTGTTATAGAACTGACCGTATCACTGTTGTAAGATTCACAAAGTTTGTAATAAAATTGACCGTATCACTGTAGCAGGATTTACAAGACTTGTTATAAAACTGACCGTATCACTGTAGTAAGATTCACAATGTTTGTAATAGAACTGACCGTATCACAGTAGTAAGATTCACAAGGTTTGTAATAGAACTGACCGTATCACTGTAGTAAGATTCACAAGGTTTGTAATAGAACTGACCGTATCACAGTAATAAGATTCACAAGGTTTGTAATAGAAGTGATGGTATTACTGTAGTAAGATTCACAATGTTTGTAATAGAACTGACTGTATCACTGTAGTAAGATGTACAAGGTTTGTAATAGAACTGACCGTATCACTGTAGTAAGATTCACAAGGTTTGTAATAGAACTGACTTATCACTGTAGTAAGATTCACAATGTTTGTAATAGAACTGACTGTATCACTGTAGTAAGATGTGCAAGGTTTGTAATAGAACTGACCGTATCACTGTAGTAAGATTCACAAGGTTTGTAATAGAACTGACTTATCACTGTAGTAATATTCACAATGTTTGTAATAGAACTGACCGTATCACTGTAGTAAGATGTACAAGGTTTGTAATAGAACTGACCGTATCACTGTAGCAAGATTCACAAGGTTTGTAATAGAACTGACTTATCACTGTAGTAATATTCACCAGGTTTGTAATAAAACTGACCGTATCATTGTAGAAAGACCCACACCTGGTCAATCTTACTACAGTGATACAGTCAGTAGTGTCATATATATTACATAGCACATGATGTACCACTGAAGTAAGATTCACAAGGTATGTAACAGAACTGAATGTTTCTTTTAAGAAAGATTCACCAGGTTCGTCATAAATTTGCTGTATGTACTTTTCACAATGCATATACAGTTGACTGTATGACAACAGAAGCGTTAGCCTAGATCTTGAATAAGCTTGCTGCATGATACAGGCCTGTACTAAAATAGTGGGACATAAATAATACTTTTGACTTGAATATTATACATCATTATTTAAATTGGAAATAAAAAGTAGTTGGCTTTTTATCAATTCATTCGCAAACGCAATCAACCTTACCCATGGTAGTTATTTTTTATAAGGTGTTTCTAAATAGTGTGACATAAATAATACTTTTGATTTGAATATTATACATGATTATTTAAATTGGAAATAAAAAGTAGTTGGCTTTTTATCAATTCATTCGCAAACGCAATCAACCTTACCCGTCGTAGTTATTTTTTATAAGATGTTTCACACACCTGGATCCTACCGGTACACTGATAACTTGTTTCTGGTAAGGACAAAAAGTACACTTTTTCGTCAGAACATTTGCAGATTTGTAGATGTTTTCACAGAAATAATCATAAGTCGAGTTTTTCGGAGCTCCCAAACATCGATTGTCAACGACTGTTTCTTCAGCAAACACGATGGACACTGGAAAACGATTGACGTCATGGTTGGTGACGTATTTCCACGGACAGATTCCATAGTGACCTTCATCTTTCGTCGTGATTGATAGATTTGTATTGGATGTGAGGTAGTTCAGTAATGTGTTTACAACATCGCTCTGTTGGCTGTGATCAGCGTTAGGGAAGATACCCACAGGTGATCCGTGACAGGATCGCCATACAAATATAGCCGGCATAGTGAGGACGATTTGGAGCTGCAACATATATTATTTATCATTAGTTATATATTTGAATAAAATACAACTTGAGTTAATTTTGTCGTCTATATATGACCACTAGTTGACTTACATGTTCTTATTAATTCTTGTAACAACTGGCACAGGATCAAAATGAAACACGTCTACAGAACATATCGATTGATATTGGTTGTGCCTTAGTGTCGTTTACATGATACATCATTAAGTCATTAATTTGTCATACTCTTATATAATTGTGAAATAAATCATCGAGCAAAAAGACATAAGTTTGTTACTTACCAAATTCTGCATAGTGATAAACTATTAACGTTTTTGTTAAACAGAACTGTTTGTAGGATTCTATTCGGAAAAAATCTTCATTTATATACTTACCGATTCAGGAAGTTTTTAATTACTGTTCTTCTAATGGCCACAAGTTGGTGCTGCTCCCGGAATTGATAACTAGGTCAAACTTAATGCAATTAAAACGCGACCCACGTCATGAATCTGTCATCTTACCCAAGTCAACATCCTCATATTTCAGAAATTGTAGCCAAAGCAAACAGAATACTAAATATCTTACAAGCATTAGCTTATATTATCCCACGTTCTTGTCTTGAAACACTGTATAAAACTATGGTAAGATCGGTTATGGAATGTGGCAATATTTTATTTGATAACTGCAGTCAGCAAGAGTCTGACCTTATTGAAAGTGTTCAGCGTAGGGCGGCATTAATATGCACAGGCGGTTATAAGGTTACCAAATATACTAAACTGCTGGGTGAATTGGGATGGGAAAAATTAAGTGAGAGACGAAAAAATTGCTNAAACTCTTTATATGCATATGGAAATGGGAAAGGAAACATCAATCACTCTAGAATAAGAATGGGACTAAGTGCTTTAAACAAACATAGATACTCTTACAATTTAACTAATAACAAATTCTGTGACTTCTGCGCGAACTCCTCCGAAGATGAAATTCATTTCTTTTTACTTTGTCCAAAATATATCCGAATCCGTTCTAGTAGCCTTCGGGCTGTTTGTAATCCTCGTAATATAAATAAAGAATTAAATTAGCATATGTCCGATAGCAGAAAATCTAATTAGATGCCGAGTCGATCATTGGCAGTGTTCATATGTGTTTGAAAAGGATGATGCTATGTTAAACTGTTTCTGGAGCTTAATGCTTTTCATGACTGTCTCATGTAATCTAATAATTCTCTGTCATTTTTTATGTATAAAAGTTTCGTTTTGATATTTGATCCCAGATGTTTTTGGATGATTTGAATATAGTTGACCACAATAATCAATCTAAAGAGATTGTTTAATATATTTTAGACTTTTTTTCTAATTCATACTAAGCAGTGTTATAGTGAGTTAAATTTATTCATTGAATTATTTATGAAACTATTTTATTTCGCTTTCCGATTTAGATATATCTAGCATGGATGGAAAAAATACAATATTTTGCTTTTGTAAAATGTTTTATAAGATTTTAAAATGTTACGTCCAGAACCTAGTACAGAATACACAAAAACATGCATCATAAGGTTTTTTATTTTACTTTGATGCTCGAACGCTTTTTTACTGTCCGTAATTTATTGAATTTGTTTGTTAATGATTTTAATTTACATATCTTTTCGGTTTTGTCGTAATACATGAAAATGAACGCACAAAAAGGAATGATGTCAAACCGGAACTACTTTTTGCGTTTTTAATAGTTTGTGTACCAAGTATTTCGACCGACCTTTTCATTTCATTATTGTAAAATAATGTCGATCGTATTTTTAGCGTCAGTTCAGGTAAGATTTTCCGGTACTTTTAAAACCATTGAATAAAAGATATTAAAATCCTCAATTTGAAAACTACGGAAAAGACATTTCTAAAATAATTAACAAATTAAATCAAATCCACAAATGATATATTGTATAAGCTTTACCATTGAAATTTGAAATTATGAAATTCTTTTGTCACATTGATTTGATTTTATATTTATATAGTAGCCCTCGATTCAAAAATGTTTATTTTTTCGTTATCCAATGTCAATTAATTTATAGATTTTGCCGAAATATCCGACATAAATTGACCGACAAGAAATGGCCTTTTCACACTAGGAATTAGAAGCTGAACAAATGCAGATTATATTGTATGTCTTCTCCTTAACCCACCTATCTGCATTGGGGAGCCTATGAATATCAAGAAATCAAACCATTTCAAAAGTTGATAACTTCTGAGTGTAAGAGAGCAAATAATTTTAAAGGAAGACACATGTCACATTTTGTAGTTTTGAATAAAATTAGGGTCACAACATTATGCTGGACAATTCAGAATGTGTAATTATTGCGTGTTGAACGAGACAGACTATACTGTAAAAGGTTTCTCCCTCAAGTTCATCTCACCACATACATCCAATCATCTATATCGAGAAAGGTAAGCACGACAAATCAATGGTAATTGATGTCATTTACTGAGTAAGATGTGTTCCGTTTATTTAATTTTCATTCGTGCACGTCTCTGTTAGGATTCGAAAAGAAAAACTTACCCATTTACGACTAGCAATAATAACTAAGTTAAAGTCTTTCCGGTTTTGCCTGATGATAATAAAATGGTCTGGGGAACCCCCTTATATTTAACATCCTGGCAGCATATCTTGATCTGTGCGAATAAGAGGAACGGTGATAATTACTTAAATATTTCGTTTAATACAGCACATAGGAATCTTCCACAGTTTTTTCGAAGAACTTTCTAAACTCA